CAAAAGCGACTAGTGTAGTTTCTCCACAGTCAGAAATAACCAAGCCGTTACAGTCTCCACAGCTTCCAAAAATCACAAGCACTGTCCAGAGCAGCAAGGATAAAACTGAAAGTGCCCCGGTTCAACACCACAACTTTAGCCCAATACTTGATCGGAAACTGCGCAACCTAAGGGCTAATGAAATTGGTGGAGCTCGAGATGGCCACGCTGCATCTCCACTGGCTCTCTTAATGGCAGCCAAGGAAAGAGAAAAACACAGGTCGGCTCAATCTTTGTCGCGGGAAGGCAGTACCAAGATGAGCGAACAACCCAAAGGAAGCACTGACCTCAGTAACTCAGGTCCCATTTTGTCAGCTGCCATTCCAAAGTCTGACTTGTATTCTTCTTTAACTCCTGCAGAAGACAGATTACATGAGAGTCTAGCATCTGTTAGACCAGAGAACCATGCACAGACAATTCAGACGCCAGAAAAATCCAGCGGTCCTGACCAGATACCACATTCCAATCTATCTCTTAGTGAAGTCAAAACAGCTTCATCCCCAACTGTAAGCAACTTAGCTACGCAGAAACAAAGCGCAGAGCAAATTCCCTCTATTTCTCAGTCTGTACAACCTAATGATCAGAAAAGGGAGTTGAACGTACCATTGCTCCCTCCTCCACCAGAATTTGATGATTTTGATGAAGTAATGGAGTCACCTCCATCCATATGTCCTCCTGATCCACCTGTAAAAAAGGTACCAACACCATCTGCAGATCATCACTTTCAGTCTCCAGCTCCAGCTTCAGCACCACCTCCCCCTCCCCCTCCAAAACACCTACCCCTTCCACCACCAAAACTTCCACCTCCTGACAAAAATGTCACGCTAAAGCCACAAGTCCAGACGAAACCCAAGCCAGCCCCTGCTCAGATACCAGCCAACCTCTCACCCAGTCAGACCACTCTCCTGAGCATCTTGCAAAAGAAGATGTTGGAAATGGACCACAAAGTGGCCCAAGAAAAGGAGACGGAGTCCACCACCGATGAATGGGGCCCATCTTTGTCTGATGAAGACAATAAGATCCCAGTTGTACCGAAAGCCAAGCCACAGGCCAAAAATTACCCTGTTGTTAACAAGGCAGCAACTCTGAACATGCAGGAGTTGGAGAGTAAAGTGGCCAATAGATTTCATGAGAGCTTCCAAGTAAAAGCTCCCCCCAGGTAAGACTTTCAGCAGTGTTATATCTCACATTTCTGAGACAGTGTGCCCAGACTTTGCTCACTGTTTCTACTCAAAATGTCTTTCCCTTAACAGCAATGGACCAAATTCCAAATACCAGTATGGCAAGACTTTCACCATTCGGCCTGGAACAAAGCAGCCCATCACTCCTGTTACCAGAGAGGACTCTTAAAGGTTTATGGAAAGAAGAGGCATCTACAGGATGTTCAGTGCAAACCACATGCTGTTATTTAATAGCAGCAGAAATTTGTGAGATACAGAAAAGAAAACAATATGGAAACACAAATGTGTTGAGACTGCGAATGCTCAGTTAATCATTGATCTCATGCTGTCACAGTCCTTACTTTAGCCTTTTTAAACATATGTGTACCTTTAACTAAAAATGACTGTCCAGTGGACCAATATTATTTCAAAGTGCTGCTTTGTTTTCTGGACATAAATTGTCCACTTAACCAGAACCTTGAATGAGTCTTAGTTCCACATATAATTCTTACTTTATAAGTAAATCCAACCATCCATTGTCTATATTCCTAGTAGGGTTGTGGTGGGGCTGGAGCCTTTCCCTTCTGACAATGGGTGAGAGGCAAGGTACACCCAGGACAGGTTCAGTCCATCACAGAGCACTTAATAAATGAATTCTACTGATAAATGAGAAAATAGTATGTATAGTTTTACGAGGGATATATCAGCAAGCATTCCTGTTTGTGTCTTAAATGTTCTCTCACTGTTACATGTACATTATATAGGTATATTGGTTGCATTGTTAATTATAGCTCCAGCATCTCTCATATTTATTGATGTTTTCTCCTACCACAGCTAAAATTCTATTCTAACTGTAGTTACATTTTTATGTATGTAGCAGAATAAAATTAAAATGGAGATAGTTTTGTTGTACTGTGTTTGTTTTTTTAATCTACACACCAGGTTGTAGACATTTATTCACACACAACCGCAAATAGATAAAGCCAGATATGTTTAATTTTATTCATGTGCATGTAAAAAAAATTACTATTTGTTTTTACTTTTTGGCATCTTCGATAGTGACATTTCCTTTCCAGTCAGCCTCTACATTACAACAGGCCCCAACCGCATTTTCCCACAATGTTCCACCTTTTTCAAACTGTCAGCTTTCGGTTCACTTGTGTTCAGACTGTAAAGGGGCGAGTAACTAACTTGTGTCGTCAGCATTAGAAAGAAGAAAAGCACTGACTGTGTGCCCGCTCGGTTTGCATGTAACCTACACTTCAGGGCAAACTGCCCACACCCATCACACCTGAACAAACAACCCTGATTCGTCAGATAGGGACAAGTTTATCGTTACACTTTTTTCACAAAAGCTTAATGTGATTACTGGAAACACTTGCAACAAATCTGTCTAAGCATTTTACTTGTATTACCAGTGTACTCACTAACAATTTTTAAAAGAAAATACTGGAACAGGTAACTGAAAAATACATACCGACAAGACTTTTGGCACTTTGGTTAAACAAAGAACACAAACCTCACTCCACTGTATAAAGCTCCTCTCCACAAAGACCTTTGGAGATTTCTGCCAGAAAGCATTTGGGACTAACACCTTTTTGAATTCAGTCTGTAGATACGGCCATCCTGGTTCGCAAAATGAGGTTTATGTCCACAGTTATTATTCTTGATTACAAATGCCTCACACCTCTAGTATTTTGAAACAGCTGTTGGAAGATTAGAGTCCAGGGCCCACAAAGAGATGCTACATTGCTCTGAAAGCATTGACTTAATTTTAATGGGAAATTATGAAAAACAAAATACGTTGTCTCAAAAAGGTACCTGAACATGACTTCAGAGTTATACAGTTTGACAGAAGTAGATTGAATCTGACTGTGACAAAAGACAAATAAGACAATGTATGAGAGCATTAATCCAAATGTGCACATATTCTAAGTGCTGAATGACACTTAAATCACTTCTACTGACATCACAATTAACTTTGTAGATGCATACGGACAAACCACATAGGACTGAAAGTTGTTATTCTAAGTCACTTTGTTTTTCAACTTTGACCGTTATATAGCTAAGATGAGGAGTTGGGAGGTCCAGCGTCTGGATCCACTGTGTGGTGGAGCACAACGTGATCCCAGCCCACAGTTGTAAGTGTGGTGGAGCCACCATGACGCCAACACACACCTTTCACAAAGTCCTGGTGTTGACGATCTCTGAGTCTACAGAGGAAGAATGGATATATCATACTTTTAGCATTTTCTGTGTAGCAGGTGACGTAGTTCTTGTTTTGAGCAAAAGTATACAGACTCACATTTCTTGCAGTTCAGAGTTCAGAACAGCAAGGGTACAGTCGTCACTAATGGAGGCGAGCAAGGGGGCACTAGAGTAGGACAAACAATGTCAAAATTAGATGGAGGCATAATGGAAAACCAATCTGAGATTTAGATTTTGACATATGGAAAAGGTACCTGTTTGTGGAGAAGGCGAGGCCGTTAACTCTGCGGCTGTGGACGTTCTCAACCTGAGTCGGTTCTGTCCCCAGGAAGTCCTTCACGGTCACTTTACCCAGCTCGTCTCCTGCAATGCAAACAGCATTTTGGGAACTGCACACCGATGTAAACTTAGGGCCAGCGGTCATCTGCTGGGGAGCCTTACCAAACGCAATGGTGCTTCTGTGGTGGGGGTGCCATGCTACGGTGGTGGGAGAGCAGTTGGGTGACTCCAGATCTAAAACAAAGACAACATTTACATAATGATGCAACATTATACAAAGATAGTCTTACAACAGGTTCTGTTCTGCAGATGATCAACTATTTGTACAGAGGTTTAATCTACTAACAATAAAACAACAATTTTTATTGTTGATGTTTTCGTCCACTAAGACCTGATTTAACACAGGTTTAACTCAATCTGTGCCATGTTCAAGTGCTGCACTGAGTTATAAATGGATTGATCCCAATCCCGTCAAAACTACTGTAAAAAAAAAAAGAAAAAGAAAAAAAAAGCCTTCACCTGGTTTTCCAAGCTGGAAAAACAAGTTGCTCACCTATTCTTGAGGCAGGTTTATTTGGCTTCCTCCTGTCCCACATCAACACACGGCCGTCCTGACAGAGCAGAAGTAACAGTGAAAACAGTTCAGTTCAGCAATCCAGTTCAGAACCCATCCTTCTACAACAAATACAAGGACATCGGGATTGCTTGATCTATCACATGTACCCCTTTTAAAATGCGTTATTTTAGCTGTGTAGGTTTGGATAGACCTTTAAAAATGCTGTTATAACCATATCACTGTATACCTTCTATAAACATGTAACAAAAACAGCACATTAGAAAATAATGACCATACGCGCTACAAATAAATAGGCATTAGCTTTTCTTAAATGAAATGAACACCCAGATCTAACCTTTGACCGTCTTGAAAAAACCAAAAAAATAAAAACAGGAATTTGAAGCATCAATTATGACTGACATGGCTGTAAAGCTGTAAAGACAAAAATGTAGTCAGTTTCATACTTGGCCACATGAGACAAAGAGTGACTCTTCCGTAGGACTGCAGGCAACACAATTGACAGGCTGCGTGTGAACTGTAAAGAGAAAATAAAATAAATAAATATATCTGTGTGGTATCTCAAGCCTATTATGAATTCCTTTTTTTAAGCTGCTGTGATTAATTGCAAAAAAGGCATCAATTTTTCCTTGAATGGTTTTTAAAAGGTTTCTTGACTTTTCCTTACCACTGTAGGTAGTGACAATCGTTTCCTGGCCAAGATCCCAGACTTTTATACTGTTAAAAAAAAAAAAAGGAAAAATGATGTTGTTTGACAGATAACATTAACAAATGCTAGACCTATTGTCTGTGATATATTGCTTAATAGTCCCTTTTTCCACACGTGTTTTTTGTACACTTTAAGTCTGACCTGCAGTCCATGCTGCCAGTGACAGCACTGTTTGCTCCAGGAATGGGGCTCACTGTAGTGACGATATGGTCATGATCATATTTGGTAAAGCGATTCACCAACAGGCGCTCGTCTTCTGCCAACTCCCAGAGCTCCAGTGCACCTGCACAGTTGAACAAGTACAGTTTCATTCCAGTTGCAACTCGTAAATGTTATTAATTTTTTAAAGAACTTCATTTTACCTGAATCTGATGCAACTACAATTTTTTTATCAGCCACCCATTTGACATCTGTGATACCAGACTCAGTCTGCACACCAGCTTTGCAAAACCCCTCATTGGGGGCCTGCTCAGGCTCGCTATAGATCCATACAGATCCCTGCCAGTTCCTGCCGCTCAGGCTGGAGGTGCCCAGCAGAAGGGTGCCATCTACAAAGGAAACCAATAGAAAGACCTTGTAAAAGCATATCTGCACAATCCAAATGCTTAAAGGCTAACCAATAATATAAGCATGGGAGCAACTACTCCGTTGGCCTAGAAATGAGTTCAGCAGCATACACACGTTTGAAATATTTGCAACCAGAGCAAACTTTTTTTTTTTTTTTTAAATCAATTTAGGAACCTGTACAAATCCAATTTACCAGGTGGCACTTGGGTACCAATGACAGAGTAAACAGAGAACAGTGACACAAAGAAGCGTCACCACGTGTACATAGGAGTGTCATCCAGTTAGCAGCTTTTACCTACCTGCTCTGTACTGAGCCGCGCATAAATGCTTCTCCATACATGCAGGAGCATTAGGAGGTATGTTCCACCGGTTTTCCTTAATCATGCTGGTGTCAACTGTACTTTTCATTCAAACGTCCCACTGGAACCAGTCAGCTGCGAGGGCTGTGATGTTCGAATCAACTTGAGCGCAACTTCGACGTTTGCTAGCTAGCACTTGTGTAGAGACACCCCTGTTATCGCTTTTTCTTTATTTGTGGGATATGATCAATTATCGTATCCTAAAAATAAAATATGTCTCTGTCCCATTAAATACAGATAACTTAAATGTATCAATACACGAATGAATGATAAGTGACCATCACATGGAAACGGTGACCATACACTTCCTGTTCGCTCAATCTTCTTCGTTGGTGTTTCTTCTTCTGGGACACATTTTTTTGTAGCGAACGCGACGGGCCGCCCAGTTGCAGCCTTCTGGCAAATTACAACACAAACGTTGTTCAGTTAAAAAAAAAGGGGGGGGGGAAACTTTTATTGTCTCCGTTCCTTTTGCATTCTGATTCGACATGATGAAAAAATGTGATCATTTCAAAACAACTTCAGTAAGAGGAGTTAAACCATTTTTAGATCCTTTATGTACATTTGTACAGCCAATTTTTGTGCAATATTTGAGCTATACTTTTAGTATTTTACATCCCTACATAAAATAAAAAAAAGCAAAAACATAGTTCACACATTGTTAACATTGTTTTGGTATAAAGTATATGGTCCAACAATCCAATTTCTGAATTACTTGTTTTTTCGATTTGATTGAAAAGCAAACCTTTATTCTGTTCGATATTTTTTTTAAACTTTTTTTGTATTTTTTGTGGTCATTTGACAGTTAAGGATCTGGTCAGTATATTTCCTTGCCTTTGGAAATTGAATCAATTTTCCATTGACTTGGTTCATTGCTCCTAACTGCACTTAGACTATTGTGTATTGGATGCATGTCTATTTGAGCTTGATCAGTCGTGCCTTAGAGCTTTCAAGCTTTCAGTGGATCTGTTTGCCAGTAGCTGACTCCACACATTTGTGAGATAACAGCAAAAAAACAAACAAACAAAAAACACACACAAAAACAGTTACATTTTCCCATTTTATTTAAATTTGTTCTTTTTTTTAAAAAGGTAAACCATTGTAAAGAGTCAAGACACTAGTGTAACAGACTGTTTTGTGTTTGGAGAGCGAGGACCCAGAATGCTTGGCCACTCTAGCAAACATTTTGTGCAATTTGATGAACTGACATGTTGATCTTCCATCCAATATAGAGGCTTCAGTTTAAGTTTAGTTTGATAAATCACCTGAATTGACCTACATCATCTTTATTTCAAAGTCAGTGTTATAATGTTCTGTTTGAACTGATTATTCCACCTCCTCCTGTGTATGATCATGTATGAAAATCCCATTTGTTAGCACCTATTTCTAGCCTCCCTGCAGGTCTTCAAGATTATGAGAAGGTCTCTGGGCTCATATTAACCACAACAGGAGCTGGTATGATGTCTTCATAGAATTTCATATACATGTATGTTTACATCTACAATCTTTAGTTGTACAATATCTTGTGTCTGTTGACAAATAAGAAAAACCCAAAGCAAGAGTCATATATGTAGATTTAAGTGACCTGATGTAGCCAAGTTATATAGATCTTGAGAGCTTTGCTTTGAATGAGTTTCTGAAGTAAAAAACACAGGTGAATGGAGATCATATTAGTAAAGAGGAATTCAACTAACAGGAAGTGTGTTTCTATCAGTCTCCCGCCAGCAGCATCAAAATCGGCTGGCTTTGTATTTGAACCATGACCCAGAAAATACTTCTAAAAGCTAAAGCATACACAGCTGTACCGTTACGTTAAATACACCCCACCTTTTAGCGGGAGTAAACGTAAATGTTACAGTCACAGCATCGTGAAAAATATCGAAACCTTTATTGTGTAAGAAAGCGAGCGGAAGTGATTGTTGAACTATCGATAACTCCACACTTCTGTCCCGGTGTCCAAAATCGATAAGTGATTGGCTTTTCTCGGTGGTTAGGAATTGGTGGGTCCGGTACTGTGCCCACTAAAGGTAAGCGCCCCGCGGTGTCAAGTGGCTCAAGCGAAGTCAATTTTTCCCTCGCGTGTGTCGTCGCGACCACCTAACGGCGGCGGCGTAACGTTAAACGTCCGTTAGGGATGCCTTTGTCTCAACTCTGTCATATTAAAAAGGCCGGCCGTTGACTGCGGCTAACGTTAGCCGTTCGGCGGGCTGGACGTGTCCCCGCTGGGGGACAGTCCGTGGCCGGCCGCTGCCCTGTATGCTAGCTCGCTGCTGATGGGGGCGCGCTGGACCGCGGCCAGCTGCGACGTGACATGTGAGGGGGGCCGTTGGTGTCAGACCGCCGGACATCATTGGACGTCCGTGGGATAGTAATGTCACGCGAGGTGAACGCAGAAAGCGGGCGAAGCTGTTCATTTTGGGGAGAAAAAAAAAAAAACTGTCTGCAAAGAAATCACAGGGTGTGTTTCAAACTGCCCACATTTTCCCGTTTCTACCGCCGCAGGGGTCCGAGGCTCTGAAGATATTTCATTGGTACTCCCGAGTTCAAATGAGGTGACACATGTCCTCGTGCCATGACACGAGAGGGGTGTCTTTCCTTTTGGGGCCAGCTCCCTGTTTTTGCTTTGAGAACATATTTAAAGACAGCCCTTTTCCCTCCTCCTCCCCACATAACAGACGCTGTTAACAAATGGGACAGAAAACGAACACAGGGTTTGTCTGGCAGTCTGCTCTGTACGTTTCTGCTGCAGCATTACAAAAAAGACGCGGCATTGGCACAGAAATCTTCTCACACGCCAAAATTCATGTCCCCGAAAGCCTGACAAAGATACATGTCGAGTTTGAATAGTTCAGGCCAGCTCTTTTTTTCAAATTTGAACGTGAATGATGCCTATTTTTCAGGCAAACTAGGATTTGTCCAGGTGACTTTCAAACTCAACATGTCAACACATGCATTTAAAAAAGGACTTCCAAGCACATCTATGCTCTAAAGTCAGTTTAAATTTACACAGACAATATTTCTGGGAGATTAAATATGTTTTTTTTTGGTTTTTTTAATAAAAAGTGGTTTCAAGTTGCTACCACCAACTCAAAACCACTGGACTTTGTCTTCCGTTTAATTCTGGTCAGCCGTCTCTAACATCTGTTGAAAAGATGATTTTAGCTTTTCAGATTGCTTTAAGTCTGAGTAATATTTGTACATTTTTCTTATTACCGGTTGATTGTTGATGATGTCGGTTTTGACTGAATGATTTTCACTCTTTTGTCTTTACATGGACTTTAGTCCCTATGAAAGCAGTCATTTCCCCTATTTTCTTTTCCACTTGTGTATGTTCTGTGTTTGCTCAGCTCTCACCACTCCTGCCTGTATTAATTTTCCAACAATGAATGTTTTTCTCAACATAAATATCTCCCATGTTGATTGGCTGTGTGCATCTCTTTTATTTCATACGGTGTCTGCCTAAATTCAGGCAGTTTTCCGTCAAAAAATGAAAAAAAGTTTCAGTTATAGTAAATCATATTTGAAACCAGAAAAAAACTGCAGATCTAATACAGCGCTGCATTCCATTTAAACGAGTGCTGCCTAATAGTTTGCATCAATGGGAATCAATGGCTACCTAACTAGCTGCAGTTAATGACTGCTGACCAGTCCAGTGCTTCTTGGTATAGCATTTCTCATTGTTGCACATATGTTTTCCTTACTGTTACTTGGTTTTTGATCAAGGTTTTTCTTCTTAGGGGTTCGTCATGGCCTTGAAAAGGAGACAGGCGACATCCCCCTCTAGCAGTGTGAGTGGAGGATATTTTGACGATAGCCAGACTTCGTTAGTGTCTTCAATTGGGAGAAAGAGGAGAAGGACCTCAAACATTCTAACAGTGGATCCTGTAATTTTACAAATTCCAGTTACTTTTTTATCTTAAAAAAAAAAATCTATTTGAGCTGCACTGAGCTATGAAATGTATAGCAGAATAAAAAGGTGAAGAGAGTGACGTGTGGAAGGATGTGGATATTTTTCAGTGTTTAATCTTTGCTTTGCAGATTGCTGTGTGTCATGAGTTGTATAACACCATCAGAGACTACAAGGATGACCAGGGCAGGATGTTGTGTGAGCTGTTCATCAGAGCCCCCAAACGAAGGTTAGGGTGGGGGATCATGAAAACATGGGACTGTGTATCCACAATGCCAATCTGTTGATGTAGTTGGGTAACGTGAGGAACAGTAAACATAGGCGTGCCTTTTTGTTGCAGGAACCAACCAGACTACTACCACGTGGTGTCTCAGCCTATTGACATGATGAAGATCCAGCAGAAACTAAAGATGGAGGAGTATGATGATGTCGAACAGCTAACCAGTGACTTTCAGCTTTTGTTCAACAATGCAAAAACGTATTATAAGGTAATAGTTAAACTCAAATAAATTCTATGGAAGCATGTGTACCTTGAAAAGGAAACATATCTTTCAGAGTACACTCAAAAACTTAGTTTGTCGTGCTTGCGTGTAGTCAGACAGCCCTGAATACAAGGCCGCCTGTAAGCTGTGGGACCTCTACCTGCGAACCAAGAATGAGTTTTTGCAGCGGGGGGACTATGATGAAGAGGAAGAAGAAGGATATGATGCTCCAGATAACCCCGGAGGCTCCACAGAAGATGAGGTGACATTTCTTTTTTATTTATGTGCAATGAACTGTTGATTTTTTTAGGCTATCTATAGTTTAATGGTAATATTCACTGGATAATCAATGTGCCTGTTTGTAAATGTCAGAGTACACCTACCTGTTTGAAAGAGGTCCTGGAGCAGCTCCTGGATGCTGTGGTGTCTTATACTGAACCTACTGGGCGCCTGGTCAGCGAGCTGTTCCAGAAGCTTCCCTCCAAAATGGTATGAACACCTCCAGTATCACTGAAGGAATTAACCAATAAAACTAGCAACTGATTTATACTTATCTGTCTTTTTGTTCAGCAATATCCAGATTATTATGCCATCATAAAGGAGCCAATAGATCTGAAAATCATTGCGCAGAAGATCCAGGTGCTCTCATTACTCACTGTGAAATTCCCACGTGGCATTTGAGGTTTTGCTGATTTCATGTGAGAAATGTATTTATCTTATTCTTTAGCTTGGCCACTACAAGAGCGTCAGTGCCATGGCTAAAGACATAGACTTGCTGGTGAAGAATGCAAAAACTTACAATGAGCCTGGGTCTCAGGTTTTTAAGGTCAGTGATTGAAAGAGAATCAGGTGCTGAATATAGCATGCCATCACCAGTGCTTGACATGCTTTTGTGTTTCAGGATGCCAACACTATTAAAAAGGTTTTTGCCCAAAAGAAGTCTGAGATGGAGCATGGGGAACCAATCAAATCCAGCATTCGGATCAGGTACTGAAGTGCCAGCAATTGGATTATTGTCGGGGGGATATTTGGAGAACTTTAATTGTAACATCTTTCTGTTCTTCCTTTGCTGTTTCTTTAAGGAATAGAAGGTCCGTCCAAGGAGACCGTCTCTCAGCTATCACTATGGCTCTTCAGTATGAAAGCGACGAGGAGGGCATACTGTCCGGTACATCTGGAGTTCCTCATTTTACATAATTTATTAGGGCATTGATCATACCCTTGTGTTGATCACTGATGTTTGAATTGAGCGGAGTGGCATTGTGGGCTCATTTTTGCTCATATTTCTCAGCGTCTGTCCACTACGACGAAGGGGAATCTGAGGCAGAGAGTATGACGTCCAACATGGACATGACTAATCCCATCTTCCAGCTGTATGAAGCTGTGCGAGGTGCCAGGAATAACCAGGGCCAGCTGATTTCTGAGCCTTTCCTGCAGCTTCCGTCCAAGAAAGACTACCCTGACTACTACCACCAGATCAGTCAGCCCATCTGCCTGCATCAGATCAAGTATGGCAACGCTGATACAGATATAACTTCTTTTTCTTATAACCCTAAAAAATGTGGTGACAGATGTCATAAAAATTAAGAGTGGCTCCATTAGAGATTTAGCTTACTTTAATGCATTACAACTGATTTTTACCTATCGAATAAGTAAACACTGCATTAATTGGAAACAAATTTTCTAATCGTTTCAAGGATTTGTTTGGTTTCTTTCATCAACAATTTGTCTTTTTATCTTCTCTGGGAAAATACGGCATCACACACACTCACTGTACTGTACAGTATTTCTGTGCCCCCCTCCCCCCCTCCAAATGTGAGAGCCCGTAATTCCCCACAGGAGCAAGATGAAGAACAACGAGTATGAGAGCGTGGAGCACGTCGACTCAGACCTGACGCTGATGTTAGAAAACGCCAAACGCTATAATGTCCCCCACTCCTCCATCTACAAGCGTGCACTCAAACTTCAGCACATTCAGCAGGTTGGTTCTGTGGGATTAGTTGTTTTCATGCCACTAGGCTGGCCTTCTGGTCTACCAAGGGGCCTTATTGCCACCTGCTGTGTGTGTAGATGAAGAGAAAGGAGCTTTTACAGCGAGACGATGACGATGGTGACAGCATGCTGTCCTCTGCCACGTCTGATACCAGTAGCACAAAAAGAAAAAGGTACCACTTTACGTACTCTCTCCACTCAGTGAAGTTGAAGCTGTTTTTTTTTTTACTTTTGCAAAACGACCTAAACTCTTGTGATGCTTATTGGATGGTTTGCATCTGGTTTTAAGCCACAAGAAGAACACAAAGAAGAATCGGATGAAAGCGCTCTTAGCCTCGGTGACGGAGGCCCGTGAAGCTGGCACCGGCCGTCGACTATGTGACCTTTTCATGGTGAAGCCGTCGAAGAAGGATTACCCCGATTACTACAAGGTGATCTTGGAACCTATGGACCTCAAGACCATTGAGTACAACATCCGGTCAGACAAGTACATGACGGAAGATTCAATGGTGGAGGATATGAAGCTTATGTTCCGCAACGCTCGGCATTACAATGAAGAAGGCTCCCAGGTTGGAATCAGTTTGGTGGTCATATCTGTGTCTCTGATTTTTTTTGTGCTGCAATGTTTGTCACAGAGAGGACATCTGTTTTCTTCTCTATAATCTGGGACCCCCTGCTAGTGTTTAAGTAGTCAGTTTGACATAATTCCAGAAGGGTAAGAAGAGGGACAGTTTGACAAAAATGAATAGCTTTGTCGTGCCTGTAGGTTTACAATGATGCAGACATCCTTGAGAAGATCATGAATGACAGACGCAGAGATCTGGGCCCAGCAACAGATGACGATGACCTAATGTCCCCGAAGCTAAAAATAAGTATGTAAATTACTTAACTGGGTTTTGCTCGATATGATGTAATCTAAGCAACGGTATCAGATGTCTGTCAAGTGTCCCGCTCATTGTTTTCATTTAATTTCAGGAAAGAACAGCATGACTCTGAAGAAGTCTAAGTACCTAACTCCATTACAGCAGAAACTCAACGAGCTTTATGAAGCCGTGAAGAACTACACGGATAAGCGGGGCCGTCGCCTCAGCACGATTTTCCTGCGACTTCCTTCTCGTGCTGAGCTACCTGATTATTACATCGCCATCAAGAAACCTATTGACATGGAGAAGATCAAGAGCCACATGCTGGCGAATAAATACCAGGATGTAGACGCGCTGGTGGAAGACTTGGTGCTGATGTTCAACAACGCCTGCACCTATAACGAGCCCGAGTCTCTGATTTACCGCGATGCTCTGCTGCTACACCGGGTTCTTTTAGAAACGAGGCGTGACCTGGAAGGGGGGGAGGATGCCAATGTGCCCGACGTGGCCCGCCTCATCCAGGAACTGATCCGCAGTCTCTTCGTCTCTGTGCTCGGTCACCAAGACGACGAGGGCCGTTGCTACAGCGATTCCCTCGCCGAGATCCCCGCCGTCGATCCTGGGAACCCCGAGAAGCCAGCACTCAACTTTGACATCATCAGGAAAAATGTGGACCGGGGGCGTTACAAGAGGTTAGATGTGTTTCAGGACCACATGTATGAAGTTCTGGAAAAGGCCCGGCGGCTAAATAGGTGAGGTGGTTTTCAAAGCCTAACGGGTGAATATTGCCATTATAAAAAACCTGATCAGAGCTCAGTGTCACACTGCACATTCATTACAGGACAGACTCTGAGATCTTTGAAGATGCAGTGGAGCTGCAGCAGTTCTTCATCCGGATCAGGGATGAGCTGTGCAAGAACGGAGAGATCCTGATGTCGCCTGCCCTGAGCTACACCTCAAAACATCTGCACAGTGATGTGGAAAAGGAGAAGAAAGAAAAGCTTCCCAAGGAGCTTGAGGAGGACAAGATCAAGAGAGAAGAGGAGAAACGGGGTATCCTTTGAAATACTTAGCGACACTAACAGAAAAAGTGAAAGGCTGCATTTGCTGGCATTCTCTCAGCATTCAAAGCCTCGCTTGACTGGAAATGTTCTGTCTTTTCAGAGGCTGAGAGGAGGGAAGACCCCGTTGGAGGCTCGTGGCAGCTTAAGCGGACGTACAGTCAGGACTGCAGCTTCAAGGATAGCATGTACCACGTGGGGGATTATGTGTATGTGGAACCCGCAGAGCCAAACCTCCAGCCACACATAATTTACATTGAACGCCTCTGGCAAGATGACACCGGTCAGTCCCATCCTCATATCAGTATTTCCAAAGAAAATAGTTTTGTTTTCTGTTTCTATATGTTCCGATCATTGGCTAAAGTCATTTATTGCTGAGTGAGAGCAGATATAATCCAGTTGTTTTTTCTGTCTCTAACAATCACAGGGGAGAAGTGGCTCTATGGCTGCTGGTTCTACAGACCAAACGAAACGTTTCATCTGGCTACCAGAAAATTTTTGGAGAAGGAAGTTTTTAAGAGCGACTATTACAACAAAGCTCCTCTCAGCAAGATTCTGGGCAAATGTGTGGTCATGTTCGTGAAGGTACGTGATGTGTTCCTTTTTAAATTTATTAGCTTTTGTCACTGAGAATGATGTTGTGTTTGATGGTGTTTTTGAAGTGTTCACCAAACATGTTTGGGATTTAAGGAGTACTTCAAGCTTTACCCAGAAGGATTCAGGGCAGAGGATGTCTATGTCTGTGAGTCTCGCTACTCTGCCAAGTCAAAGTCCTTCAAGAAGATCAAGTTGTGGGCCATGCCCCTGAGCTCGGTTCGGTTTGTTCCCAGAGAGGTGCCCCTCCCTGTAGTACGTGTGGCTTCCATGTTTGTCACCAAACAAGAAGAAAAGCCTGCCGAGATTATAGACGAAAGCAAAATGTCAGATGGCATTATAGAAAAGGTAAATGGTCCCTTTGTTGCTTCTGTGTAAAGACAAACAGAGGAGCTAGAAAACCTATTTGTGTCTACAGGAGAGAGAGGATGTCCCATTTGAGATGACCAATGGGGAGCCCGGGTGTCAGTACTATGACCAGCTCTGTTACAACAACCTGTGGCTGAAAGTGGGAGACTGTGTTTACATTGGTTCTCATGGACTGGTGCGCCACCGAGTGGGCAGGTAGCACACATGTTTATGTTGAATACACTTAATAAAAGACTGGTGGGATAGTACTTTATACCACAATTATCCCTCTATGAATGAATTTGGTTCAGAAAGTGCAGATTGCTCATATAGAGGATTAACTTTCCTTTAGTAATGATTGGTTCTGGTCGATAGGTTTATTGCGAGATATGATGGTGTTCAGGGAGAAAGTGTGTTCTTGAATCCATGATTTTGTTTTAACTGAACAGCTTCTCTGATTATTTTTTTTTATCCAACAGAATTGAGAAAATGTGGATGAGAGATGGGGCAGGCTATTTCTTTGGCCCCATCTTTATCCATCCTGAGGAAACAGAGCATGAACCCACAAAGATGTTCTATAAGAAGGAAGTGTTCCTTAGCAACCTGGAGGAGTCTTGTCCCATGACTTGCATCATAGGTACTGGTTGTAAAGTGTCATGTTTTCCACTTACTGTTCCTCTTTCTTGAAAACATGCTACAACGTGTGATGTGTTACTGCTATGAGGAAAAAAAAAAAAAAAGATTTGGTAGAATTCTCAAACTGACAAAAACTCTCATGTTACAGGTAAATGCGTTGTGGCATCTTTCAAAGAATACTTGTCATGTCGGCCCACTGAAGTGCCCGAAGAGAACGTTCTTCTCTGTGAGAGTCGCTACATTGAGAGTGAAAAGCAGATGAAGAAGTTCAAGGGTCTAAAACGTTTTTCTCTCTCTGGAAAGGTGGTGGAGGATGAAATCTACTATTACAGGTGAACTAGATACACTTCAAGTAGGCATGTCAATGAAACCTGTATGTCTGAGCTCTTGTAAACTGTAACATGGTTTAATCAGAGACCATCTTACTCGGTTGGAAAATTGTCATTGTTGGTTGTTTTCCACACGTATTTTAATACAGATTTTTTTTAGTCAATGGAAAGAGATCCTATTGTATGAAAGTAACTTCTTGTGAAATTAATTAACTGTAACTTAATTGTTTTCTACAGGAAGCTCATTGTTCCCCAGAAAGAACCGTCCCCTCTGTTAGACAGGAAAATTGAGGAACTGGAAGCTAAGTTTGCTGACATGACAGATGAAGAATTAGAGGACCTTGGGGATGATGATGGTGACCTGGGGGACCAGTCTCTCCCTCATTTGCAGTCCTCTATGTCCAGCGACATGGATATCATGCCTTACACCCCTCCACAGGTCAGGGTGAAGGTGTAAAGCTAGAAAGTTCTCATTTTGATACTGCTGTGGCGTTTTTATCTCTGGTTCTCTTGTGTCTGGATACAGTCAACTCCTAAATCCATAAAGGGGCTCTCAAAGAAGGAGGGTTCAAAACGGAAGATCAACATGAGCGGCTACATCCTTTTCAGCAGCGAGATGCGAGCGGTCATCAAAGCCCAGCACCCAGACTTCTCCTTTGGGGAGTTGAGCCGTCTAGTTGGCACAGAGTGGAGGAACCTGGAAAGTTCAAGGAAAGCAGACTATGAGGGTGTGTCTTCTTCTTGGGATATGATTAGTTAACGGAAAGATGAACGCCTGTAGGCATTCCTCCACGTGTTGGTGTATCGACAGTGCTCAACTATAATGTTAATACCTTGCACTTCTGTTTACTGTTGCAGAGCGAGCAGCTAAAGTAGCGGAGCAGCAGGAGCGTGAGAGGGCCCAGCATCAGACGTCCCCTAGAGCAGGTACCCCTGTAGGGGCACTGATGGGGGTGGTGCCTCCCCCAACCCCCATGGGCATGCTAAATCCCAGCATGACGCCTGTGTCAGGTAACCCCTCATAGATGCAGATGGATCCCCGGTGTGCTCCAGAAGGCTGAAATAAGAAGCTGAACTGGGAAGATTACTCACAAGTGTTTTGTGTCGTTAGTTAATTTTCCATTTCTTCTAACATTTTGTCTCTACATCCGTAAGAAAAACGGCAGAAAATGCTAAAATTCTCGTGGTCCCAGTTGATCACGTGGAATGTTCTGCATGTAACTGCCGAACATGAAAGGATGGTCTGTTTTATGCCACTCGGGTATTTAGACTAAAAGCTAATGCTTCTCTTAGTGCATGTGTGCCAAAATGTTTCCACTAAGTGTTTATTCTTTATGTGTGCTTTATTCAAGTCATCTCCATCCCTGCGCAATCACCACACAAACTGCATATTAACATGTGAATGCACGTGTGGTAGTGAGTGCATGTCTGACTGATGCATGTTGTTTTCTTGTGCTACTACTGTTCCTTCCTAAGAATGCATGATGCGTGCATATAGGTCAGCTATGATGCCCCCGCAGGGCCATGTTGAACGCATGGTTAGTTTGACTGGCATACCACAGCATCACATGGGGTTGCCTGTCTTTCCCCATCATCTCCTGCCTGTTATACCTGGGTTCCTTGGAATGCCACCCTTTGGTAAGAGTGCTGTCATAGCCACCCCACCTGCCATGCAGTTGCTTCCTGTCTACCAATCTGACTTGCTGGAGGGGCTACCTGTACCACTAGGCTACGATCCCTATGTTGATGTCAAGTTATTTTAAAATGCATCGTCTCAACAAGGACTTTTCAGCTTGAGGCACTGCTGCCAAGCTATTGCTGCTTTCAATTTAAGATTTTTTAAAACTGAACTGTGGTATAGATAAACAGACATGATGGGGTTTGTTAGTTCATGACTGGAAAAATATTAATTTAGCCATTTTAAAAGTACAATTTGATATATGAATGAGGAGACAAGGTGCGACTCTGCTTATTCTAATGATAAATATTCTCACAGGTGTCAATGGCATGGCTGGTGGAACATCAGGAAGTATTCACGGATCCCAGGTAATCTGTTGGGCTCTGTGAGCAATTGGTCATCGCAAACTCTATTTAAGATTAGATTTAAGATGATATGTAGCTGGCCTGATTTAGAAACGAATTTTGAAATTAATATGAAATCGGGGACATTAAAGATATAATAACTGTTTTTAAAAAAAAAAATACTAATTCTAACTTAAACAAAGTATTCATCAGTATGTTTTTAAATAATTTATTGTCTTAAGGTTTACTCCCAATGGGTTCCTCTATATATAGGAGAAGTTATAGCTTCTGAAAATGTTGTCATTAGATGGGTTTGATGGGCCAGGGGCAGCAAGCTCCTCCTCCATACCCAGGTCAAGGCCAGATGGGAGAACCCGCACTCCAGCAGCCCTCCACACCGATGTTTGTGTCCCCACCAGCCAAATCTCAGCGTCTCCTCCACTCTGAGGCATACCTCAGATACATCGAAGGACTTACTGCAGAATCTTCCGCCGTCAGCAAGTGGGATCAAGCTCTCACAGGTGAACGTATCATTTCGAGGGTCATGGATCAGATGATACAAACTTCACACATAAGGGTTCTGGCTCCCACCCCGGACTCGAGCCGGGGCGGCTCCAAACATATGAATTGAAATACCTGTCTTTTCAGGAAAATCATATTTCATTTGTCATTTTCCCTTGCAGTCAAGAGACAAGATGTGCGTCTCACAAAAGAGCAAGAAAGTAGACTACCATCCCATTGGTTGAAGAGTAAGGGGGCCCACAAGACCATGGCTGATGCTCTTTGGCGGCTCCGTGACCTGATGCTGCGAGATACCCTGAACATCCGCCAGATGCACAACCTGTAGTAATCCTATGTTGCGAGCCTCTGTTCCCCAAACCTGTGTGACAGGACGAGGTTTAAGCTCACTAAAAGTCCTTGCTTTGTGTTGTGATTAAAAAAGAAAATATTTGTATTCATACCAGTTTTCTCTGTTTCAAACGAGTTATGCTTTTGTTTTACATTTAAGAGATATTGTTCTAAGTGCATTACTGTTTGTGTCTGTGATAAAGGCCTTCATGATTTCACTATTAAAAATGTGAAGAATTCAGTTTGTTTGGTTTTAATTCAACAACTTAATGTTTGTATATTTTATATTTGAATGCTATACAACCGCTTTAAATGAGTATCTTTTGTATCCAGAGCATGACTGAAATACCATTTGCTGATAAATAATTGTTTATAGTCAACAAGTGTTTCTTGTTGAGCACCTGGGAGCAACCGGGGGCGTGTTTCCGGTTTGACATGTGCGCCTGCGCGACGCACTGACCGCGCAGTTCCTTTTGCTCCAGACGTTTGAAAACTGGCACAACGAGCACGTATGTGCGGACTGTAGCGGATCCTCATCCCATCCTAGGTGAAAAATACTGTAACGGTAAGCAATCACCTCACTTGAACATTTGTTACATCTACACACATGAGCACTACCAGCTCACCAGGGTTAGTAAACTGTAGCCGGCCTTTACATGCGTGATGACGGAAATAAGCTAACTTTGTGGTTAGCAACAAACATATTAGCAGGCTAGCACTAGCATTAGCTGAATGACTTAGGACCCGGCTGCAGGATCAGTCTATTCGCTGGAACTGGGATATTTCTTTCCACACGGTGTCTGACGATAGTGCACAATTAGAGGTTAGTTTGGAATGTGGAGCTAATAATACCCACTATTAGATGTGGTTTTAACTTCCCTTGCGATATATCATTGCCACGTGCTTATATTTAAACTTAAAACGCATTAGCCTGCTAGCTTGTATGTTATTGTCCATAAACTAACCTGGAATCATTAAGGGAGAACTGACAGTGCCACCCTGGGGAAGTGTAGCCAGTCTAGCTTGTTAGCTGTTAGCTAGTGGATATAAAGCTAGACTGGCTCAGACCTTAAGAGTATATGTAAGCTTTCTTGTTTTAAACTTTCTTGTAAACACACGTGTCATTTCTACAATTTAGATAAGTGCACATAAGCTCATTAAATACATGATCTTTGCTGGGTGCATGGTACATATTTAGCTGCAAACGATGTGTACCTGAAAATGTGTACAAACCGTAATGCTAAAAATTTCCATCGGTTTATTGTCTTATAATTAAAATGTATTTGTATTGAAAATAACTTCAACATTGTAATTTATCTTTGAGCAATTCCCATGAAACAAACAACCAAAGAGATGGAACCGATAGGAACTGACCAGTAAAAAGGAGCATATCAGAGTAGATGAGACCCTCTGATTTATCTCCTCGAGGAGTGTTGGACCCATAATTTGCATAATTTAAAATAGCTATGTATTTGATATTTGTCTCTGTGTTTTGTTACAACCTACTTCTGTCATGATGTCCATTCATGTCTGTGATATGTCCATCACATTGGACTCTTCATAATTGTGTGGAAAAACTCACAGTGCACATATATTCTACATACAGAAGCTTCAGTCCCCATTTCCTTTTGAAAGTGGGTGATTTTCAAGGCTATCAAGCTGTATTGTCTGCCTTTCAAACATTTTGGCATATTCCCTTCACAGTGGCAAGCATGGAACTCAATGATGCCAATCTCCAAACTCTGACAGAATTCCTGAGGAAAACACTGGACCCAGACCCAACAGTCAGGCGTCCAGGTATGCCTCCTCGGTGGCAAACCACTAACTTGTCGATCATGCTAATACTGTCTGCAAAGTCTTTCATTTGAATGTGAAAGCTCTGCGTTGTAGCACTTCTTCTCTTTTCCTGTCTCAGCTGAGAAGTTTCTTGAATCGGTGGAGGGAAATCAGAACTACCCATTGTTACTCCTCACGCTGCTTGAGAAATCCCAAGACAACGTGATTCGTGTCTGTGCTGCGGTTACCTTCAAAAACTACATCAAAAGAAACTGGAGAATTGTGAGTCAACCCCAAATCCAAACGTCATAAACTCTTTCACACCATGCTGCATCTTCTGATGATGTCGCCTGAGGTTACATTAAAATGGAATGTACTTCACCTGAGTTAAAAAATGGTTGTTTTGTTTTGAATGTTCCTGGTTAGAAATACCTGGTTGACATTTACAGTATAAAACCGCATGTTATTTCCTAAAATATTTACTGATTCTGTGTTCACATGGTCCTAAAATATGGCATTTTTAGCAGTGAGGTGTGCCTTTAAACACTTTGTGTGTTAATGCTGTGCTTTTGCTTTTCAAAGATTGAAGATGAACCAAACAAAATCTCTGACGCCGACCGAACGGCCGTCAAAGCCAACATTGTGAATTTGATGCTGAGCAGCCCAGAACAGATTCAGAAACAGGTACGCCTTCATCAGACGACGTCACAACTTAACAGGTCCCGTTCGGGGGAGCGTCGGCATGCTCGGCTGTGGCTCATTTTTCTGACGCTTTTCCACAGTTGAGTGACGCCATCAGCATCATAGGCAGAGAAGACTTCCCTCAAAAATGGCCAGACCTTCTTACGGAAATGGTGACCCGCTTCAGAAGCGGGGACTTCCACATCATCAACGGAGTGCTTCGGACAGCGCACTCCCTCTTTAAGAGGTAGAGCCGGCTCCTCTCTGTTGGTACGCCATGCCTTTTGTGTTGAGAGAAACATTTTGGAATGTTCTGTGCTCTTCAAGGTACCGCCATGAGTTCAAGTCCAATGAGCTTTGGACGGAGATCAAACTTGTGCTGGACACTTTTGCCCTCCCCCTGACTGAGCTGTTCAAGGTTTGTACGCTTTTTACAATTAAGTCAGGTGGAGTGTGGCACGTAACCCGTTTTAAAACCAGCCAGAACATTTAGCCTAAACGTTGTTGCTGAGCCCAGTTGTTTGTTTTTTTCTCTTTGTTGCAGGCCACTATTGAGTTGTGTCAGACTCACGCTAATGACGTCAATGCCTTGAAGGTCCTCTTCTCGTCCCTCACGCTCATCTCCAAGCTTTTCTACAGTCTTAATTTTCAGGTCAGTTCTGCTTCGGGTGTTGTTGGAGCATCTTTGGAGCTATAAGACTGATTTCCCTCTTTAGGCGTAGGGCTGATTCCTACAGTGTCTCCCTACGCTGGTTCTGTTCTGTTCATACATATTGATCACTGTGAGGGCTGTTTGTTTGACTGTGCTTTCCATTGTTACATACAGGACCTCCCAGAGTTTTTTGAGGACAACATGGAAACGTGGATGACCAATTTTCACGGTTTACTGACTTTGGATAATAAGCTTTTACAGACAGATGTGCGTTGTCTTTTTTTGCCCGTTTTTACAGTAATCATTTAACTCTGCAGGTGAGATTCTGTTTTTGACTAGTCTGTGTGTCTGTCTCTTATCCTCCCTCAGGATGAGGAGGAGGCAGGTCTTCTGGAACTGCTGAAGTCTCAGATATGTGACAATGCTGCTCTATATGCTCAGAAGTACGATGAGGAATTTCAGCCCTACCTGCCCCGCTTTGTGACCGCCATCTGGAACCTTTTAGTCTCGACCGGTCAGGAAGTCAAATACGACTTGGTGCGACTGCTTGGCTCCCACCCCACAGGGTTCATGTCTCTGATTTTCATTGTCCGTCTATACACTAACTCTATGCTTTGCCCTTCTTGCAGCTTGTAAGCAATGCTATCCAGTTTTTGGCTTCAGTCTGTGAAAGACCACACTACAAGCACCTGTTTGAGGACCAAAACACACTCACAAGCATTTGTGAGAAGGTCATTGTGCCCAACATGGAGTTCCGAAGTAAGTGGTCTGTTTTAAACCGGGAAGCGTCATCCCTGTCTGACTCGGAATCTCATCTGTCGTCATGGTTACCAAAATGTTCTTGTGTGTCGCGTCACACTGACCGGTTTACCGTCTCGCGCCTGCACAGGTGCAGATGAGGAGGCCTTTGAAGACAACTCGGAGGAATACATCAGAAGAGATCTTGAAGGATCCGGTAAAGATTTCGTCCCAGTCCACAGATACTTGTCATTAAAAAAGCATTTTTCTCCTGTGTTTACACCTGTCTGGAAAACAGATTTTAGTTGATGCCGTGTTAACGGTGTTCTTGGCTTTGATTACATTGTACTGCATCATCACACTGAGGAACAACATTAGTCATCTGCACACACAAACAAATCACACTGGTCTGATTCTTCATTACACAAACTGTTTTGGTCCTGAGGTTTCTGCCAGTGGGCAGTCGGGTCACGTGACAGCTCTGAAATGTCTTTTCTTTTCATTTAACGGGTGGATGATATGGAAGTTACCGCCACCTATTTGAGAGGGTGTGAGAACTTATTGTCCTGAATGATCTAATGAAGAAACAGGAGTGTGATTATACTCTTTGACTTCGTTTGACTGGGAGAATTTCCCGTTCTGGTGGGTTGAGTGATCCTTTTCCTTTCCCTGGATCTGTTGCCAGACATCGACACTCGCCGTAGAGCCGCGTGCGACCTGGTGAGAGGCCTCTGTAAATTTTTCGAGGGGCCCGTCACAGCGATCTTCTCTGGCTATGTGAACTCGATGCTGGGCGAGTACGCCAAGAGCCCCAGAGACAACTGGAAGCACAAGGACGCCGCCATCTACCTGGTCACATCTCTGGCGTCTAAAGCTCAAACGCAGAAGGTGAGATTGATGGTTATTTTCAGATGCTGAAACAACTGAGTGTGTAATAGGAAATTAGTTTAGTCTTTTTATTTCTTTCTTTATTTTTTTTCCTAACAGCATGGTATAACACAAGCCAATGAGCTGGTGAACCTGACAGAATTCTTTGTGAACCACATTCTCCCAGACTTAAAGTCCCCCAATGGTAAGACCTTCATGGCAGTGATTGATGAATGTGAAAAGCCAGCTTACATTAAGGTTGGCTTCCTCTGTAAATATTTATGCATTATGATGTTTTCTAAAAACCTAATTAAATGTTTTTTGTTTTGTTTTAGTAAATGAGTTCCCAGTCTTGAAGGCAGATGCAATCAAATATGTGATGATCTTTAGAAGTCAGGTATGAAGTCTTGCTTTCCTTGCTTTTTTTTGTTGAATCTCCAAAGTGAAAGGGAATTCCTTTCTAGAGATCCATCTCTAATTCTTTTTTTTTCTCTTCCCCTGTCAGCTTCCCAAAGAGCAGCTGCTGCAGGCAGTTCCTCTTCTGATATCTCACCTGCAGGCAGAGAGCACTGTGGAGCACACGTATGCTGCCCATGCTTTGGAGAGGCTGTTCACTATGAGAGGCCCCAACAATGCAACACTGTGAGTGTCAAGTAAGCTAGTAATGGGAATTTATGTTTCCTATCGTTGTGTGTAATTGGATTCTTTTCGATCCTCAGGTTTAAGAAATTCAGTGCATTTCTAACGGAGCATCGGGTCACATTAGTATCTGAAAAGTTTAAATCCAATGGGTCAAAAGCGAGTACTGCATTTGTTCTGCGTGTGAAGGGATGTCGTGTTCCAGTTCAGACGGCTGCTTTTTTAGTGGCCGTCAATCCTCAGTTTGTTTGAAAAGTCAGCTCAAGAATTGCTGTATTGTTAATATGGCCATCAAGAAAAAAAAAAGACAAATGTGAGCTCTGTTTAGTTTTTTGTTTGTTTCTTGGCACACTTTGCGTAAACTTATGTGAGCTAGTGTAGATGTTGGACCCAGGAATGTTGTTGTGTTGGACTCTGTTGTTGTAGCCTGGAGGCAGGAGTAAGTCTGAAAGATAGTAAGTGATGAAAAAGAGCACATGGATATCTCATTTTAACATGGCTTCAGTGTTAAGAATGAACTCGGGCTGGTGTCTGTGCTGCGGGGGAAAAAAAACAACAAACTACTTGGCCGTACGGTAACGCGGGCATTCAAGCATCTAGGAACACATACAAAGGTTTCTGGGTTTGCTTTCTGATTATTTTTTGTACTTTGTTTGACCTTAAGCCTCTGCGTTAGTCCACAGCTCCACTAACAGATTCTAACTGTTTTTTTTAATGAATCTTTTTTTTTTTTTTGTCAGGATCACATCTGCTGAGATGGCGCCTTTCACCGAACAGCTGCTCAACAACCTGTTTAAAGCGCTCGCTCTTCCTGGCTCTGCGGAAAATGAGTACATCATGAAAGGTGAATGGGACTGCCCTGTTGTGTTGATGTTATCCATTAAATGTCATATGAAAAGTAATTTAGTTGAACTGATGGTTCCTCTGTTTATCTGAAGCCATCATGCGCAGCTTCTCCCTGCTGCAGGAGGCCATTGTTCCCTACATTCCCACTCTGATTGGTCAGCTCACTCATAAGCTCCTATTGGTCAGCAAGGTAACACAGGCTTTTTTTTTTACTGCTTAGAAATACATTTCGATACATAAGGACACTTGTTCTAGGGATAAAGGGACGAATGTGTCAGACATTCTAAACGACTCTGAATGTTTTCAGAATCCCAGCAAGCCTCACTTTAATCACTACCTGTTCGAGTCCCTGTGCCTGTCGGTGAGGATCACCTGCAAGGCCAACCCCAACACCGTCAGCAGCTTTGAGGAGGCGCTCTTTCCCGTCTTCACAGAGATCCTCCAGAACGATGTCCAGGGTATGTGGGAACTGTGACGCTGACTTTCCATTTGCTGAGCTGATGCGTGACGATGGCCTGACTCCTTCTTCACTTGTGCTCCTTTTGCAGAGTTTCTTCCGTATGTGTTCCAGGTGATGTCCCTCCTCCTGGAGATTCACTCCAACAATATACCCGCTTCCTACATGGCTCTATTCCCCCACCTGCTCCAGCCCGTTCTCTGGGAACGCACAGGGAACATCCCCCCTCTTGTGCGCCTCCTTCAGGCTTACCTCGAGAAGGGAGGCGCCTCGATTGCAGGTTCTGCTGCAGATAAAATAGTAAGTGGTCTGTAGTCCAGGGAAGACATCAACTGTCCCACTACTTGGCAGGCAAATTAAGTATTTTATGCTTTGATTCTTTGCAAAGCATATTATGTATCCGTTATATTGTATGTAGTTGCAGTCATTGTACTCATGCTCACCTTCGTTCCTCAGCCTGGCTTGCTTGGAGTGTTCCAAAAGCTTATTGCTTCCAAAGCCAATGACCACCAAGGCTTTTACCTTCTCAACAGCATCATAGAGCACATGCCCCCGTAAGTCTGCCAGTCGTCCGTTAAGTGAGTAAGTCATTAAATTTGGTACCTGGTGATCATTCTTGTGAAAACTCTTTCTTTTGTAGGGAATCTATAACCCAGTACAGGAAACAGATCTTCATTTTGCTCTTCCAGAGGCTACAAAGCTCCAAAACCACCAAGTTTATCAAGAGTTCGTACAGTGTTTTTTTTTGTTTTTTTTGTCTAACAGTGGTGTTCTGTTTCTTTTTGATATCCTAACATGGTGTCAGTTATTTATTTTGCTTGGTTTTTTATCTGTATTTTTTCTGTCTCTCTAAGGTTTCCTGGTGTTTATCAACTTGTATTCTGTCAAATATGGAGCGATAGCACTTCAGGAGATTTTTGACAGCATCCAGCCAAAGTAAGCATGGATTTATTATTTTTGCTAAGTAAGTCACATTATGCAGAATGTGACTCCTTGTGGAAGAACTGGTTGGCTTTGGCTTCATTCAAGTGTACGTGCTGTGACGTTCACAGCATAAAAATCACTTCAGTGTCTGCATCCTTCAGTCTTTAACAGATCCCCGTCCCACACGCCAGGGGAAATCTCAGCCTAGGTTTAGGTTTTGGCAGCTTCTATTGTTATGGGGAATCCAAACGTCTTCCACTGCAAACACAAGGACATGATAAAGTAGGATAAACTCATTCTGCCATGTTAACCTGTGACCCGATCACTTTCACTGTGCAAAGGGGACACCAGAGGTGAAAACCGATTCTTTACCGAAGCCAAAAAGAGGAGGTTTTAACTGTTTCAAAGCAGGACAGTGTGTTTAAGGAAGAGCTGGTGTCTGAAAACCCCCCTACTCTGCGTCCCATTAGTGGACCAACTTACACTGACTGATTTTTTTCTTACTTTGATACAGAAAACTTGGTATTTTTCTTATCTCACTATGTTCCAGTTACCTTCTATGACATTTTCCTCACCTTTAAAGTATGACATAAACAGACAGGTGGAAGAATAACTGATAATCTTTTGACTTTTTGTGTTGCAGGATGTTTGGTATGGTGCTGGAGAAAATAGTGGTCCCAGAGGTCCAGAAGGTGTCTGGACTGGTGGAGAAGAAGATCTGCGCTGTTGGCATTACAAAAATCCTGACGGAGTGTCCTGCAATGATGGACACAGAGTACACCAAACTCTGGTAAGAAGCCGGTCCTACAGACCACGATCTAATCTTAGTTGCTCTCTGACTTGTTCATCCAACTCATTCTATTCAAGTGATCTCTTATTCACACCCTTAACTGATCATCAGTGTTTCCATTTGTGCTGACAATTGCAAACTAAAACTGAGCGGCTTGTTGTTAGGACCCCTCTTCTCCAGGCCCTCATTGGCCTGTTTGAGCTGCCAGAAGACGACAGCATCCCAGACGATGAACATTTCATCGATATTGAAGACACACCAGGCTACCAAACGGCGTTCTCGCAGCTGGCCTTTGCCGGCAAAAAGGAGCACGACCCGATCGGGGACGCCATGGGCAATCCAAAAATCCTGCTGGCCCAGTCACTACACAAACTCTCCACCGCCTTTCCCGGACGGGTACGTTCAGACATCCAGGAAGCAGCATGTGTCCTCCCAGGAAACTGGCCTGGATTTTGAATAACTCACAAGATGGTGGTTCTAGCGTTTTAGTGAATGTAAAGACTTGTCTGCTTGTGGTGCAGGTTCCTTCGATGCTGAGCACCAGCCTGAACTCGGAGGCTCTGACCTACCTGCAGGGGTACCTGCACGCAGCCTCCGTGCAGCTGCTTTAGAGCGGATGTGGTGGAACCGACTGAGGAGGCCACAGCAGCCTGCAGCCACAGAGCTCACCTGCTTCTGCTCAACTTCAGATTCGACAGTCGTACGGTGGAATTACCAGAGAAGTGATGAATGAATAATGCCTGAATTAAGAGTGTGTTGTCTAAAGGAAGATTTTTAAGGGTTTTTAAAGACATAAACCAAAAGAAGGCATAACCCTGTTACCATTCAGTTTGATCTTTTTTGTTTAGACCATCAAGGATTGATTGTGAAGAACTTTATTTCAGCAGCAGCTGAGGCAAAAATAAACTTTGTGGAATACAGAACATTCAAATGAAATGAAAGGATTTTCTTTCTGACATTTTCTATGTTTAGATTCCTTTTAATGGTTATGTAGACAGAAGTCTGTGGCTCAAACATAATGCTTCATATGTCAGTCGCACATTTCCCTCAGATTTGTCGATGTGTTGTCCTTTTTTCTGCACTGTTTGTTAATGTGAATAAAGAGGCACTTGTATAAATCTGTTATAGCTGCATTCTCAGTTTATATTTACATTTTTCTTTCTTTGGCTGATGATTCAGATTCAGTAACGGCTTATTTTCGCCATGGAACTCCAAACGTTTATGCGGATGTGTGGTGTATAATGCTGCGTGAGAACATGTTGTGGAGGCGGAGTCTGAGAGGTAAAATTTTGCAACTACAGATTGTGGGCTCTCCCTTCACATATTTTGTTATTTTAAGATGCACACAAGACTTTGGTGTCTGCATTGGTCCATTTAACAACACTGAAGAACAAAAATATGTGTTAGGAGGATTTGATATGGCCGTTGGTGGTCTTCTGCTCTGTATTCTTGATGAATGGAAGCATGCATTTGTCTCCGCCCATGAAGCGATAAGTCGCAAGATTTGCCTCCCAAGGCAGCAGTCTGCAAACAGTAAGGTCAAAGTTATGTTCATTCATTGTGTCTTTACAGCTGATTTCTGAAGAAACTTTGATACGTACGCTCTTGCAAGGAAGGGGATGTACATAAGCCGAGGGATACAGATCATTTGCTGGTCTCCTAAAATGGCTTTCATGGATTGCTGCACCGTGTACAGAGGCTCCAGTGGTGGAATTAGACTCTTCAGTTCTTTTCTGTTTAAAAAAAAAAAAGACAAAGTTTAAGTCTTTCATGTTTCTCTATGTCAATCATTGGTGTTTGAATTTCAGCCGATAGCACTTACCTAATTTCACAGCCAGCAAACATCCCTGTGTCCACAATGTAAGGGCACACTAAAGTGGTTTTGATCCCGTTGTGGTTTTCGGCTTGCAGCTCGTGCGCCAGCGACTCGTGGAAACCAACAGCTCCAAATTTACTGGCACAGTAATCCTGGAAGGGAAGGAGGACGAAAGCAGAATGAGATCCAGTTCAGTTTATACAGCACACTTTGAACAAGGTACTCCTAACTGGTCTCTGTGTGTGTCGTACCTCTACACATGCCGTGGTAAACAGTCCAAGGGCGCTTGCTACGGTCACAATGTGACCATGGTTCTTTGCTTTCATCTGAGGCAGGAAGGCCTTGGTCATCTGTCAGAATAAGTTTTAAAAATATAGCATTAGAACAAAGAACATTAAAACAGTAGCACACTGCTGCAGGGACACTTCTTCCATGTACTTTGACACTTAAAATATTTGATGCCCACAAAGCAGGAGAATGCAAAGAGTAGAAAGAGACGGCCTCTCAGGGTGCTATTCAGTCTGTTAATGTCACAACAGTTTGCATGAATTGTTGAAATCAGGAAGGAAAAGTCAATGTTCAGAGAGAAGGGCTTCATTAAAAAGTGCGTTAGTACTGCACTGAAAGAATTCATGATGGATTAATCTGGCAAGAACATCCCCAATTTAGGAGAACATGGCTGATCATGCTTGTGTTTAACAAAGTCTCTTTCATGAGGATTCTCTCGGGGTTCTCTGCCTTCCTCCCATCGTCCAAAAACCTGCATATTAGTTTGACTGGACATTCCAAATTGCCCTTAGGTGTGAGTGTGAGTGGTTGTTGGTCTTTGTGTGTTTATATGTGGCCCTGCAATGGACTGGTGGACCGTCCAGGCTTTACCCTGCCTCTCGCCCGTTGAATACTGGGATAGGTCCCCCCTGCGACCCCATTTGGAAATAAGTGGATCAGAAAATGGATGGATGGATGTTTCATGAGCAACATTTAACTGCTTAGGGAAAACAGATAAATATCAGCTAATTCTGGAAACTAACATGCTTTTAAAAGAAGATAAACCTGTTTTTTAAAGCACAAGATGAAAGAAGGAGAATATGCTAGTAGATCACCCCTTTTTATTTACTTTAATTTAAAAAATGTGACACTGGAGCGTTTGAATATGCAGTTGTATCCTCTTTAGATCTGTTACATTCAGATGTGTTTTTACTAATTTGGTTGATTTAAAAAATGTTTTAACCAAGTTAAGTGCTACCGGTTTCACCTGAGCCCAGTCTTCAGCCCAGGCCCCTTAGATGAGATGATAAAAAGAGGAGTAGCTGCATCCCAGTCTCATCCCTTTAGGACCAGGTGTTTATGACTGCCCATTTAACTTCCACAAAAACAGAGAAAGTATTTTGCTGATATGTGGGGTAGGCTATTTGGCACTAGTCTAATTTGTGAGCATGTGCCTTAGGCACGAAAATAATCAAAAGTAGAGTTATTATTTTGCATCCATAGAAATTTGCAAACACATTTTCTCCCTGTGGAACGTATTCACAAAATGATATCGGTTTATACAAGTTCTCGCCTCACTGGACTTTTGGAAGTCGGGACAGGCTGTACGACTCGCTGCGGCACAGGCTGATCTGATCCCTTCACACACGGGTGCACAATCTTTGACCTGAGCCACCGGGGCGAACAGTAAATGGCGGGTTACATAATCCGTGCCGGGCTGAGTCAGGTCAGCTCTGGCTCTGCTAAAGCGGGGCTCCTCGCTGCTCCTATAGGTGTGTGCGTAAAAGCGCCAAGTCTCACCCAAAACAACGCGTGGCAGTTCACCAGCAGAGTCCTCTCCAACAGCTCGTCCGGACACTCCAGCAGCCTGCGTCCGGCCACCACGCCGGCGTTGTTGACCATTATGGACACGTCCCCGACCTCCGCCCTCACCCTGTCCGCCGTCTCGTAGATGCTCAGGCGATCGGAGAGGTCCACGGTGAAGGTGTGGACCTTCACGCCCAACTCCCGCGCCTGCTCGGCGGTCTGCTCGTTGGCCGCGGTGTTGCAGTCCCACAGCACCAGGTGCGCTCCCTCTTTGGCGAACTCCAGCGCGAACAGGCGTCCCAGCGCGCCCCCGGCCCCCGTGATCAGACACAGCTCCCCGTCCACGCACTTGAGCCTGGGCCGGAGGACAGTCTGGACGACGGCGCGCAGCACGGTGTAGGTCAGGTCGATGAGCATCAGCAGCAGGTCCACTATGACGAGCATGGCGCCACTCTAGTTTCGGCAAGGTCCCCCTCAGCGCACTGGAGATGTTTACGAGCGCGCAGGCCGACCGCCAAGCGATGTGGCGTTTGAGTTATTTCTCTTTCGTGACGTGGGTTTAGATGTCCACTTTATATAACCCGTGTGTGCCGGATTAGAGGGCTGACTGATGAAGGGCTTTTTGTCTGATGTCGGAGGAGCTGAATGGTCAACCTCCACACGTTCATAACAAGTACATAAACAACACTGAGGCAGGATTAGGACAGGCCACATACTCACCCCGGAGCCCAAAGCCAGCTGATTTTACTCTAAATACAGAAGGCTTTGCATTTTGACTGAACCCAGAACAGTCAAAAAAGCCTATTCCATCTTTTCTATTCCTTTGTGCGTTATTCAGAGCAATACTACACTTTTATTCAACCTTGTAATAGAAATATTGTGAAATACAGAAGTGTATCTGGTCATTTATTATACAGACATTCTTTTCATCTGGTACAGAAAGTTATTCCTGATCCATGATGTGAGGCGGATTATCCGACTCTGAGTAAAATGTTAAGGTGATAAACTGCTTAGCACGTGGAGACAAATCCCTTATATGTTCACATATCCAAAAATACTGCTTTCGAAAAGGACCTTTTTCAGTTTGAAAGTCAGTTTGCTGTTTGACTGATTTTTAAGAGTTGAGCTATCCTTAAAGCAAACTTGGGAGGTCCAATGCAAATAATTACTGAGGAACTTCTGGAGTCAAGACTGTTTGTGTCTTGCATGGGAAAAGCCTAAAGTTGTGACTAGCATTGACTGTTATGTAATCCTCTCCAAAGGCACGGGCTAATGATCAGCGTAATGTAATCCAGCATGAGAAAGGAGAATTCCTCAGAGATGAGAATGCTTTAGAAGAGAGATGGATGACGATTAGAGTGGCCAGTGACATTCAGCCCAAAAAACTCCATTCAGAAACAAAAACAAGAAAAAAATTATTGAAACAGTGGACATAACACATTTTGTTCTAAAAACAACATATAAAAGGGAAATTGAGTTGAAGGAAGTAGTTGTTAAATAAGTGATTTATAGGAAATGTCAGTCAGCTCAATCAAGTATATCTTTTTTTTAGTTTAACTATTTTTTAGATCAAGAACACACATTCATATAAACAATCATGGTAAAAATGTTTAAGATAAGATATTTTATTTTAGCCAAGGTTAAAAATCATGCACTCACACCATTAATATATACCCTAGTTAGCAATTCATATGGTTAACTAATCAGTTCAGGATACACTTCTTTTGAAAGAAAAATTTAAATATTGTGACCCAAAAACAAAAGTCCCCCTCCTATATATGAATAAAATACAAAACCAGTGTAGAAACTAATATATTGACTGATCAAATTGTACCCGTATGCCCACATTTCTTTTACCAGACACAGCAAGGTGTGAGGAGAAAGGACAAAACCGAAAAAGAATAGCCTGCCAATACTACCTTATGGTGGCTCAAATGTCTCCACATTCCATCCAACTTTGACAGCGGAGAAAGTTTTGTGCTCCCCTAGAGTTTTCCTTGGTCCATTTTTGGGATTGAATGATTCCATTGACTCAGGATAATTGATCTTACCTAAATTCAGACGAAATTGACTTTACATGACCCAAATTGTGTTTCTTTGGGCCTGTGGCCTGGTACTCAGTACCTTCCGTAACCCGAACAAAAGCTAGTTTTTGGCATTTAGGCCAAATCTGGTCAATACAGCACATGCTGTAACCCAAATACCAAACAAATGTCGGGTTAGGCTGATACGAGCATGTGGATGTGGCAACTTTTAAGTTTTTCTTTTTTATTGTCTTTTGCGCAGCAGAAACACAAAGCTGACTAACAGAAAGATGACTGGCCATAACTAAATTAGGCCAGGAAACTCTACGATTCTAGTTCTTATTTTCGACCTCCTGGAGGTATCCTGATGTGCCTTCCATAAGTGTAAATGATTCAAGTAAATATATTCAAGTAAAAATATTAAATAAATAATTACTTAATATACGTAATATATAATGAAAAATGTCTGCAGTGTGACAGCTTGTCAAAACTCAAAGTATTAGATTAAATTTAGCTAAATTTAGGGCTTCATGTAGCATCGGACGGCAAAAGCCTTAAAATGAGATATTAAGATTTTACCAATTTCTTCTTAATCTGTGGTGTTTATATTTGCTATCATGCACAATCATTGCTGTATGACACTGTCATGCATATATTAAATAGTAAATGTGTTAAACTGAATGATCCTTGAAGTGTCATGGGCAGTGTGTTCAGGTGTTTTGTTATTGTTAGCCTGCAGATGTCACTGGAATCACATGACTTTGAGCAACCTCAGCAACTGTACAATCTCTAATCTTCAAGTGCTTTTTATGTACCCATATTAAGCAGAGAAAATTGTTGATTGAATCAGGGTTCCCTGATATTTCTTGGTTTGATCATGTGGACCATTTTTACCCCACTTTTTTCCTTCCAAAGTTATTGAGGCTTTCATATAAGCACATGCTTCTCACCCGTTTGAGAAATTGGAATCTAATCTCACCTGCTTTTTAAACAAACAAAATACATAAAGAACAATTGAGAAGGAAAAACAAACAAATACTTCACGATTAAAAGAGGTAATGGTTCATGGTAATGGTAATGGGAGTTAATATGGCTGCATATGTAAGATTGTAATCTCTTGCGTATGCGTTTTATTTCTAGACACTCCGGTTAGTTGGTGACAATATTTACCTTAGGATGTAAATGGGTGTCTGGTTGTTTGTCTAGTTTGTCTCTGTGTGGCCCTGTGATGGACTGGTGACCAACCCAGGGTGTAAACTTCCTCTCACACAATGACTGGGATAGGTCCTGCCCCTCAAAAATCCTGAATCATTAAGTGTGTTAAAAGAGTAGATAGATGATGTCAGTGGTATCAGTTTTTGACGTAATGGGTGACACTAAGAAGGAAAGGTGAAAAATAACTCTGTAATCTATACCTGATGATTCATCGTTATTGGGACTTGTTGCTCTGATTACTGATTATGGAGGAAGTTACTTCCCTTCTTGCTAATTAATTAGCAAGTTTAATGCATTTTGTTCTGAAGTTGCCAACCGACTAATAGTTAATGGTTTCCCAGTAATTCCTCATGTATCCCTAAAATAAATGTAGAAAGTTTTTCATAACATTTTTTTCATCATTTCATCAATGATCAATTCCACCAAGTAGAGGCTCTTCAAATGGAATAAATTAGGATAAGTTATAAATGATCAGCATAGTATGTGAAATTCGTCAAAAATCTAATTTTCTGTAATTCTAGTTCTGACTGCTTCCGTCTGCGTGTTTGATGGCCTATGGGAAATGACATAAGTGTGGAGCATGTAAAAAGTTCATCGGGGAAAAACTGATGTAACTCTGGCAGCGTTTGATATATTTCTTCATTTAAAATTTCATGCATCTCAGCTACAGTAGGGCACTTAACATTTCCAGAAAATAATACTGACTTCAAAACATCAGAGGGCGCTGTCGTATATTAAGAATAAGTTCCCAGTCGTTTTGCAACTTTGCCAGCATTCTCACAGAGTCCTTTCTCTCTTTAATTAATCGACGTAACACTTTCCAGTTGGAACAAAGAGACCAAAGCCTTGGATTACTGTCTTTTATTAAGCATCAGTCAGTAAAAGAAGAAATTCGCTTCAAAACTGCTTATGATAGACATTATCCTACAGCTTTTTTGGATGATATTTACAAGTTCTGTATGTCAAATTTTTGTAGCGCTACATGCATTGAAAAACAAGAAACCACACACATAATGTTCTACAAACCGGTACAAAGTAAGAAACTTTACAAAACAAACATTTCCCCCGACACAATAAGGGCAGCGTACAGAGCTGTGTGAGTTTCACAGAGTGATTTTTTCCCTGAAGAAGGGGTATGATTCAGAAAAAAACCTTAGTTATGGGCCCGGATTTGGCTTGAACTCTGTCGGAATGGAAAAGAGTTACCTGTTGACGTTAAAAATTTGTGCTTTTTGGAAATTGTACTTCAACCAATATGTGCCTCTCTATGTAGACATTTGGATTGTCACAGGACAGCAAAGGATATTTCATTCAGAAAAAATCAACAAAGTGCAGTTCAGAAAAAGAGAAATTAAATTATATATAAAAACAAGAAAGACATTGTTAACATTCAACCAACAAACAAGTTGTTTCTGTTAAATATAGACTATGGCTTCTTTGCAAAAAAGTCAGCCATGATCAGTGGCTCATTTTCAAACATTTGTCAATTACTGCATGTCTGACTGTTGTGTGATGAATACAGATGAATCTCCTCTTATTCAACCTGTTCCACACCCTCCCCTCTCCTATCTGTGGAGTCTTTTCCTCTGCCTCCAACACCTTGGGCCGTGACGATCATATGAGCATTCGTTAGTTTGACATTTTTAGCCCATTACCATGCGGTGTGATGGGTTGGACTGCAATAAAATCCCGCACGTCATGTTTGTACTTCGCCAGAAATCCAAACTTTTTCTAGAATATGTTGTTGCAAAATTTGTTCCTAAGTATTGAGTGACTCTCTCTTGTAACAGAAGGTACAGTATCTGAGAATTTCATGCAGGCCGATACACTTTGCATGCCCTGGCTGATATTTATTGACTACGAAAACTGATCACACCCTCAAAGGATGACTCAGCGCTTCTTTGCATTAACATGCAACCAGAATTTTTTTTTATTCTTTGGAAGAATACACGCTTGCGTAACTTTTTTTCCTGATGACGGGTAATGTTGCGAATTTTGCCTGAGCATCACGTTTCCCTCCTTACCACAAAATACCCCAAATTTGCAGATGGATCTCTATATTCTTTCTGGAACGTTCATGGTGTTGTTGTTAAGGAGTTATTTGGGCAGAAGTTGGACATGAGGCTGTAGAGCAGCGCGCTGCAGCCATCATTCTGGATGTCAGTTCTAATCAAGCGGCCAGCTCTGATGCACAGCTCTGTCTGTCACACACCATTTGTTCCCATTCCACTCACATCTTGCATTCGTTCCCTCTAGGAAGAGGTGCCTGAAGTCCCAGTCCACATGACTGCAGCGGCACCTCAGGTTCAGGTTCACATGGTCGTGCTCTGCCTGTTCTTCTGTAATTTTTATGCTCATTTCTGTGAGAACAGCAGAGTGGAATGAGGTGATGATGGAGCAGTTTAGTTGTGAGACCCACAATCCAGGTCCATCTGGACACGATTTCACCAGGGTTTATCAGTCTGAAGAGACAAATGGGCAGGGAACGACTGAGATGAATGAATGTGAAGTCTGTGTAAGTTTGTACAGATCAGGCTTTTTGCAGGGATCCAATGTGAGCCGTCCAGTCATCTCACCCATCACCATGGAAACAGTGGTTGTTCACTCTGCTGAGAGGCTGCCTTTACCCATTTGTTTTTCTGGACCGGGCCTTTCTCATGTAAATGTTTGGTGCAACCTCAGTGCACAGGAAAGATATTAGAGGGGGGGGGCAGTGTAATCGAACGTGAAGTCTGGGTTTTCTTTTGGTGCAGTTTCTTCATTCTCATTTGGACACAATCAGTGTGTGGGGTAGGCGTTTGTTAAAAGCAAAGGCACAGAAATATCTAACTCACCTCTAGTGGCTGCAAACACCCATCTGCAGGAAATAGGTATTTTCTTTTTTAAGCTTGAGGTTTTAATGCTAAAAGAGAAGTTGCTGTGTCATATGCTTGCATGATATGTTAAAAAAAAGTTCAAAAGCCTGACTCTAAAACCACCCGATGATAAGACTGTGTATTTGAAGTCATTTGCACATAAATTTGCAAGACGCAAAAATATTTTAGTGAACTATAGAGGGCTATATTGTCCTTGATCTTGTTACTGTGCCTGAGTGGCAAGCTGGATATAGCTACAGGCAGTCTTCTGTCTTAGGAAATGTCTTAAGGACTCATATGAGCAGTTTTGTGGATTTGAAACACTTGCCAAGAACGAAAGTGTGACTAAAATGAATTCATCTTTGGAAATGATGGTAAAATAAAGTGCTGTGCTCCCTCATACCCTCCGTTGCCAACATGCTTACCCCAAATGAACATGTGTTTTTCCCTGAAATGTTTAATGGTCTGCTGTTTTGAAAGGGAATGCTCGAACATCTTAAAACTCCCCTTTGAAACACATCATCTGTGTAAGTCGTCAGAAAGAACAGTTCTTTGGTTCTTTGCATTGCACAAAAACAGAGGGACAGACTTTTACAGGGAGAACAATATAAATATATCTATTGCAGAATATCATCAGATAAATGTAACTCCTTCAAAGAAATGCAGCACATTCAGTGCAGTGAAATGCAAAACTATGAGGTCAGCACAATATATTTGTCTAAGAGTCCATTATATTAGAAAATATCTTAAAAATATAAATGTATCTTGTTTCTTATACAATAAATGTGTGTTTTTGTAGGAGATTCTACCTTTGTAGTTAGACATGTTAACACTCCTACAAAACTTGAGATAAACGTGATTTTCACTTCTGTCTTTCCAGATATGGAGACACTTTTAAGTGTAGAGTTCAGTTTATCAGCTACAACAGGAATGACTACTCCTTTGAAAAGTTTTGAAACAGCACAAGACTTTTTGTTTTGATTGAAAATTAAGTCTGACAACACAAACCTCAGGGACAGACTCAGACACTGAAAGACAAAAAGAAAAAAAAATGTAGACCAATGAGAGCAACACATTTTCAGTCTGTGAAAAGAGGCTTTCTCTTCTTTGCAGTCGGGTACAATGGGAGCAACAACAAAAAAAGATGGACGGATGGAATCTTACAGCGCCTTTTGTGCTGTGTACATGGATTCTGTGCAGTAAAAATGTCAATACTAATCTCTTGTTGAACAGAAACAGACGGAAACGCTTGTTACGGCTAAAGATCACACTGAAGACAAGAGACCACTAATGCTACGTTACAATAAATATACCATATTGTACAGATAGTTATTGCACACATACATATGTCTGTACTACTTGCCTGTCAGACTCAGGCCTTTTCACTTTCTCATAGAAACATAGAAGTTGGGCGACAACATGAACTAAGGCCAGTTTTTAAGGAGGAACTTAAAGGAAGCAAACTATACATTATTTTGTAACACATCTTCCTCTGAAATATACATTGTGTGTAATTATACACTGACAAGAATGAAAAATGCATATTCCCCTTCCATACTGAAATACAGCTATTTGAATATATCTCTGGAGAGTGCCTCCTTTCAATGCCCTTTGTGGTTTGCTACCGATCTGCTGACCTTTACTGCAGAGGTGCTAAAGTGGTATCCAGGGATTTAGAAAATGTAGGTTTTTGCTTGTAAAAATGAAACACTGTCTTCCTTCAACTACAGTGTGATAACTAGTGGGAGATCTAAGCTTAATAAATGCATGAATAGTAAAACTCCTTGGAATGCAACTGTCTTTTTTCATTATAAGAGTCTGCTTGACCTATGTGGTCAAGAGTCACTGGCAGGAAAAGTTTGAGAACAGAACACAATCATCCCATCATCCACCACCAATGTATCATTTCTTCAAATGTTCTCAGTGCTTTTCGTATTTTTGGGAAGTCTATTGTGTTTCCATTTTGCTCTCCATCCTCCTCCTCCTCCTCCTGCTCCTCCTCTTCTCATCTTTGCTCTCTCTGTAGTTCATTTTTAGTGACTCTAAAAGTTGGAGTGACTCTTCTCTCCCTGAAGTGGCTGCAGCTCCTGGGCTACATGGTTCTCCTGGCCCTCTAACGGCAGTGTGCTGTTCCCCAGTTTCCTTTGGAGGCCTTCCATGTGATTGGGACCCTGCTGTAAGCTGGACAGATGGCTTAACATTGGGCTGGCTTTTTCCAAGAGTCTTTGAGTTGTGTTCGTGCCTGAACCGTCATGCAGGTGTTCGTCTTCATCTGTATCAGCATCTATGAACTTGTTGATAGATGCGTCATGAAATGTGAGATTGCTGGGCAGTAAATTCTCTGGGCTTTTGCTGGGTGTCCTGCTGCTGGCAGTTGTATAGATGGATGTTTCAGGGCTGTGGACAGATGAGCCGTCAGAAAGGACTCCCGTCCCTGAGTCCTCACCACCTCTGACGCTGACCTTAAGTGTGTGGCTCCTGAGTGGGTTGTTGAGACGCAGGCCTCTGTGGGTATCAGGATAGGGGCTGAGCGTTGTGCCTTCCCCTGGTGTAGCAGTCCCATGCGATCCTTCGTGCTCATTTTCCAAAGTGGGCTCCAGGCTGGGGTTGGTACTGACCCTCCCAGTCATGTTGCTGCCAGGGCTGTGGGAAAAACGAGAGGTCTCGGGAAAGTCCGTGGCGCAGCTGATGAAGCTGTCAACGCTGGACATACTCCGCACGTCTGTCACGGCCTCCCCTGTGCTTGAGACGGCTTCCTGTGGGATGCTGCCCATTTCGAATTCCGCTCTCTGTCTGAATGCTTTGGAATGGGTTCCCTTGTCTTTGTTGATGTTGGACTTGGCCATCTTGTTGTACATCTCCTCCAGTTTCTGTGCACTGAGATGTTGAGGGCTGTGAGAAGGCTTGGACTGCTCTTGGTAGCTTGAATCAAGGATCTTTATGGGGCTGCTGGGGTCGATAGGTGACTTGTGTCTTGGAGTCCCTCTCTGTGGGGACACATGATTATCATGCACCTTTTCCGTCTTCTCATCAGTTCTTTCCACCATTACATCCATGAGCTCCACATTACGGCCGAATGCATCTTTAATGTTCATAGAGACGATGCTACCGTTTCTTCTAGCCCTCTCCAGAGCCTCTCGTCTTTTGATGGCTTTCTCCTGCCTCTTTTGCTCTTTGTAGAACTCAGAGAAGTTATTCACAATGATGGGGATGGGTAAGGCTATCACCAGCACTCCTGCAATGCAGCACAAGCCTCCAACTATTTTCCCCAGGAGAGTTTTTGGGTAAATATCTCCATAACCTACGGTGGTCATAGTAATAGTAGCCCACCAGAAGGAGGCTGGGATGCTTTTAAATTTGGTGTCTTCTTCATCCTTCTCAGCAAAGAACACTAAGCTGGAGAATATCATGATACCCATGGCCAGGAACAGAATAAGCAGGCCCAGCTCATTGTAACTCCTTCTTAGTGTGAAGCCAAGAGACTGAAGACCGGTGGAGTGACGAGCCAGCTTCAGAATCCGCAAAATTCGCATGATGCGGAAAATCTGCACCACCCGGCGAACATTTTGAAACTGTAGCACACTCTTGTTAGATTCTGTCAGAAAGATGGTGACATAGTACGGCAAGATGGCCAGCAGATCAATGACATTGAGAGGACCCTTAAAGAATTTCCATTTGCTGGGGGAGGAGAGAAAGCGGAGCAGGTACTCCATTGTAAACCAGGCAATGCACACAGCTTCAACATGGGCCAACTGTGGGTTGTCTGTAGCTTGACCAAATTCATCCGTGTCCTGCAGCTCTGGGAGGGTGTTCAGAGACAAGGCAATGGTGGACAATACAATGAAGAGGATGGAAATAATTGCCAGGATCTGTAAAACACAGAAAGAAAATGATGAAAAAAAGCAGAGGAAGACATCAACCAAGGTCTATTGAGCAGACATTTCTGTCTCCCGTATGATAAGCTGTCCTGATCTCCTGCAAATTTGATATTTTCAATTTAAATTGAAGTAAGACAAACAAATAACATCTGGAAAGAAGCTAAATCTAATAGAAGAATTAACTGTCCCTTCAGCAGCAATGACTTTAGTGATTACCTAAATGTCCACATTTTTTCATTTCTAATTTGAATTCTTCCATGTTATACCCAATTAGCTTCAAACTCAACGAGATACCAACAGCTTTCATTCGATTTGTTTCTAATTAGCAAATGCCAACACACAAGATTTGATAAAGGGCCATCATGAACTACTTTACAAGGCAATATCTGAAGCCCTGACAGTGACAATGGGTTGAAACCTCAGCATGCTAGCAGTTTCATTGAAAACATACAGAGTTTTGCTTAGAAGGCACCAATAGAATTTAGCTCCCGAAATAGATGTTAAAATATTATGTTTGAAAAAACAGTCCCTCCTGCGAGAGACAAGAAACAAACTGATGCAAATGGGTGGCGGTTGCTTCAAAGTCAATAATCTGAAAGGTTTAAAGATTAGAATAAATCTCTGAAGATGTTTTGTGTTTGTGCTTATAACTGTTTGCCTTTGATGTGGCTGGTAGCACATTCCTTGCCAAGCCTAATTAATTACACGTACACATACAAGAAAAGTAGACCCAATCATTATTTCAATATTCTGAACCACAGATCACACTGTATAATTAAAGAAGGGATTTTGCTTAATTGCAGTTTACCATATTGGCAGAAAAGTCCACTGCTGAACGTAGGTTAGCTTTGCCCCTGAACTATAGGATGAAAGTCACAGTGCCTCATGGAGGAAATAGAGCTTTGATAGTGTCAGAGTTAGGTCAGTCCCTGATATACTTCATTTCAAAGTGACAAAGGAGTTCAGCTCCATTTCTGACACTGAATTGCATTTCCGGACATACTAAAATATCCCAAGGGGCTAGTATTGTTTCCTTCCTTTTCCCTTTCATTTTGGAATTTTACAAATATTCACTACAATCCTTAAAAATCCAAAGCAAAAATAAATGTACGCTTCAGTTACAAAGTGTCTCATGCATGGCTTGTTAGACTGATGTAGAGCTCCAGAGAATTTAGCAGCCTGCTAATAATATAATCGGCCATTGTGCTATGGATTAAGAAGGTTGCTAACTGTTGTGGCTGCATTGCTGTGCAACACCTACTATTCCTGTCACACACTCGCTGTGAAATCCAACACAAGGTCACTATGGAGGCCATGACCCAGGAGGCTGGTGAGTAGGATTATTCCCAGGTACCAGTCAGCCCCCATAAGCTTTAATTAATGTTGACAGGTGACTACATGTACATCTACCTTGGCCTTTACTAGAGGGGACCTAAAAGAAAAGAAACTGTGTATTTGGGAAAAAGATGAGTCCACCAAATATCTGTCTGTTTCAGCTAAGGAACAGCTCACGTGTAAGAGTACATTTTGGGGAATAAAATTCTGAGCACTATTACAACCTTTCTATAAATAGCCTCCTTTGTTCCTTGTATGAATAAAAAAAGGATGAACACTTAAAGAAATCTCTGTAGGTGGGTTTCTTGTGTCGGAGTTTCCACATCCAAGAAAACACAAGCGTCAGTTTAAGAGTGTTTTCAACATAATCTGAGCACACAGAGGTGTGCAAGCTCATCTGAAAGCCGAAAAGTCCTGAGTGGCAGGAGAATGAAATGAAATCGCACATGCAGTGCCTGAATATAAACAACACCAGAGTCCTTCTGCTAAACTGTTTTGTGCGTTGGAAAATACACACATCATATCAAGGCTTATCTCTCTTGACACACTGTCATAGCTGGAACGCTGCCGATGAATCATTTTAAATACAGTAGACAGCACAGAAACAAAACAGGTGAGTTTGTAAAGAGAGCATCCTACGGATGACAGGCTCTAACATGTAGCAGTTTCTCATTCGCACAGACATTTTCCTCGCTCAACCTAAAGTCATCCAACCAGAGAGGAAAATTACAGGGAAGCAATCTCACCAAAGAGGAAAACCCAGACAGAAATAAAGTACACTGTGGATGTCTGGCACAGAGACAGGACTGGGACAAAGAAAGGAAGATGAAACTGCAGTCTTCTTTTCAGCATAAACATTGAAAGGTTTTTTTGTTAGGCTGTTCTGCCCAAACAAGAAAATACATTTCCGTATTTTCATTTAACTTGGTGATTATAAAGGATACTATGTCAGCATTTTTCTCACTGTACATCTACAAGTGCCAATTTGAGATACTGTGTAGGGTGCTGCAGAGGAATAAAAGACAAGTATCCACTGATAAAGAGGGTTATGGCTGGTACTGTGTCAACTAATTAGCTCTTTATGACAAGCACTGGGGTCATAAGGGGAGCCAATCCCACCTTATATTGGCATTGACTGAAGATGGATCTGATCAGCACTATTGCTGCCTCTGCAAAACTGTAACAGTTGCTCATCTCTACCGGCCCAATATGCATCACACACATATATATATATTTATATATACATATAGCCTCACTCCCACCTCAGTAGTGAGCTCCAAACCTCTTTTCTCTGCCAGCCCAGAGAGGAAGGAGGCTGAATATTTAATATCGTACAGAAGTGCGAGCTTTCCTGTCCTGGAAAAGGTGGGAGTAAGTGGATCCTCAGTGGGCTATAAAAGACTGCAGAGCCAGAGTATTAGCCTAGTTTTCAGACAGCTTTCACTACACAAGGTTAGCTGGGGTGCATGTGTGACCAAGGTAGGGGATAGACAGGGAGAATCCTCAGAGAGGTAGTGTCTCATAAGGATTAGGAGTTCATAATTCTATGTATGTAGCTCGGTCATGTTCACTTCCCAGTGAGTGAAAAACAAACCGCCTCATGCTTCTGAGTCAGTTTTCCCAACTGCCCAAGCTATCAGACTCATCTTGTGTCTTGGTAATCTATTCCAATCTTAATGAAAGTAAAAAAAAAAAGAAAAAGTTGTGTGTCTGTGATCTTCAAGAGGCTCACATGCCGCAGAAGCAAAACAGAACAGCGAGAGCAGTCAGGGCCGAGATGACAGCCAGATAAAGGCCAGACACACCAGCTACTACACAGTTAGGGTCTGAGAACAGATAACACGAAGAAGTCAGCGGAGAAATCCTCTTGTCTCGTAATTACGGGGTTTTCTCTTGCGTCACACTGTGTGAAATGTTGATTCACCTCATGTCCAATCTCGTTTTAACAGGATTTGCCCTTTTCACCGCATGAGCTGAATCAATAGAGGGATTGTGTTACAGTGACTCACTTATGTCTTTTTTGGTGGACATGAGTACAAAATGACATCCCTAATCCTCTTATAGTACTACTTCTGTGACTTGCCTGTACATTTATTTTGGCCTGTGCCCTGAGAGCTGTCTTTCCTCCCACAGAGACTGAGCAATCTCTGCAGACAGTCCCTCCGCAGGATACTGGGCCATTGTTTTTGTTTTCATTAGAGGCCTCAGTGGAAAAGATAGATGAAATTAAACTCCCAGTAAACAAGGAGGATCCTTTCCTCAGCAGTGGAAATGCTAGAAGCCTCGTGCAGCTGCAAACATACTCTCCCAGGGTTAGTCACCTCTTGGAAAGTTCCAACTGTGGACTCCAATGCAGTAATCATTGCTCACGAGCCACTCTAAAAATAATTTAGACCTTTGATATACGCTCTCCCCTTTTTAAAAAGTTTTTCCAATGTTGTCCGTCCATACTAAATCGCTCAAGTAATGGGTCTCAAATACATGGATTTTTCAATTTCTTACTGGAGAGTTATTTAGAAATTTCCTAAAATGATTGTCAGGTAGGTAAGTTGGAGTAAACACTGTCTTCGTTAGAACTGATTTTCAGTATCAGATTTTGTGCACCGGTGAGCATACGGTCCCTCGGTGTTCATTTTGTAGAAATACTTTTGTCACACAGCGCAGCAAAGTGGTCCACTTGTGCTCTCACACAAAAGGACAACAGAGAAATAAGCTGGATCAGGCCTTAGCGATTATGACAATGCCTGCTAATAGGATCAATTTAAAGCTGTTTTTATGGTGTTTTTAGGTGATATGTTTACAACAGAACCAAATGAATCTTTAGTCGTAGTAGTAGTCTTCTAAAGGCTTAATTTACTATGTGATTGTATCTTAGTGTAGATAACTACTAATGTTTTATTTGAAAGATTTTTTCTGCAAACTCCAAACAGAAAGGTACACATAAAAATCAAGCTTTCATTTAATTTTATTCTATGCCATGCTGGTAGCAATTTCTGCTGAAACCAAGAACGGTAGAACATTTTTTGGGGAAAAAATACATGTACTGGCTCTTGTGTAACTGTTAGTGGTCAGTGTCTTACCTCCTCCATTATACACAAATGTGCTTTTGAATCTGTAATGATTGAGCAATATCACAACATCACACAGTTTCACCAAAGGCAGATGACAGCATGAAACTGAAAAATGTAAGCTTGCATATGCTTTCCTGAAACTCTGAGGATTGCAAAGCTTTTGAGCACGTCTGACATTTTAATAAGCTTCAGACAGTTAGTATGCAATGATTTTTAAATCTTTAAATTGTTTTTTGTATATTTCTGTTTTATCTACATTTTAAGGCACTTTTGGATGTTATGAGTGCTATATGAATAATCTTGATTGATTGGCTTTGTAACCACAATTATTGAGAGATTTTACAATGTATTATTATGAATAATAACAATAAT